ATATTACATTTATAGTATTACAACTAAAACCGTTTTTGACGCCGCCACCGCAGTTTGTCCTTCATGAACCTTCGTAAACAAGATGGCGGCTGCCTGTAGTGGCGACTCGCGACCATGGAGATATAAACAGCTTTTTATAAGGTAAAAATAATAAAGCAAGGTCTTTGTCTGCAATGATTAGACATGTTTTTTATTATTGTCATTAGTGATTATCTCAATTTCGGCTAAAAGAATTGACAAAATCCTACAGACTCCCTTTAATTTAGAAAATCAAACCCTCTGTTGTCAGCTGAGTTTATTAATTATTGTATCATCAGTTCCATCATTAAGGGTTTTTTAGGTTACATTAAAACGGTTGATGATGATGATGATGTAATTTTTCTTTAGCATTTTAGCACAAATCTTGGTAATAAAAACAGACATTTTTTTCAGTGAATCCGGTTGAAGTGAGGATAGTTTCTGTCTGACAGACCATCTTTGTCCAGATCTTAGATTTATGAAGGAATATCTCTGTGTAGATCCACATGTCTCTCTAACCAGGTGATAATTTATAAAGCCCACAAATTAGACCTGTTGTTTTTGTGGTGTGTGTGATTCAGTGAGTTTATTTTGGACTGGGATGTTTGTTATTCAGTGTGAGTGGTTATATAAGAATATAGTCACTTCCTGTGTAAATAAACTTGTACATAACTCTGTAAATCACTGTTTTTTGAATAAATACTGTGAGAAGTTTAACAATCGAATAATTTAGGTTTGTTCCAGTGATTGTGATTTCCTCTTGTATACGTTTATCATTTTGTGATGTTTTATCGATAGAGCAGTGGTTTTCAATTCTGGTCCTCATGACCCACTATCCTGCATGGTTTAGTTGTTTCCCTGCTTTGGCACACCTGGTTTAAATGACTGGCAGGCAGGGGTCTCGTACAAAGACGTGTGGATTTGTTACTGAAACATGGCACGCGGTCAAATCCTGAAAACAGCGTACACACAAAAATAATCCAGGGGCCGGTTTTGAAGACGAGGTTTAAGGCTAGTCTGACTAAAATTCTGGTTTAACTCTAAGTCCTTTGCACAGTCTTGTCTTAAAACAGTCGTACATTTATTAAACAAAACCAGTTGTAGGAAGTGGATCAGAACAACTCTGTGACTAAATTGAAGCTTAAATTAATCCTTCAGAGAAGCAGGTTTAACTTCTGCTTAGTGGTTTGTGAAAGGGAGCACAGACAGTTTGGCGGTGGAACCTCTTTATTCGGGTCAAAACCAAGAACAACTGTAAAGTTAGGTCCTTGTGAGCAGGATAGTCCATGAGATCACCACATAACGATGGAGGCAGATGTGGGTGTTCCACCTTCACGACACACATTTTATTTACCTGTCTGGGGATTCAAACCTGCAACCTGCTGAGCACTGGCTTGGGTTTGGGAGGAACGTTCATATGAAGGGAACAGCCTCAAAAATACAAACAGAAACCTCTCAGCCCTACCTCAGGGACAATAACTTTCTGATTTCAATTATTCTAGTGGTTTATAAGATATTTTGCTGACAAACAAACAGGTTTGAACAGTGAAGCAGCTGCTGTTCTGTATTTCAGCCACTAGGTGGCAGACTGAACACAGCTTTTATTTGCTTTTCACTTGTTTACAGACATATTTTATATCATCTCAGTAATCTTAGTGCGCTTTAGGTGTAAACAGGTGTGGGTTCTCTGAGCTGGATGTTCTGATGTACAACAGACCTGATTTAACGCAACATTTTACAACAGTTTATTACACATTTACAAGCAGAGGTGCAAACATTAACACATTGACATGTTTCTATCTGCTAATGTTCCTAATTAGAGATTAAATCATTATGATCTCACATGTAATGGTTCTTTAAGTTTGAAGCAAAGTGAGACTGTAAACAAATAAAAGGTGTTTATTTAAATCAGTATTATGAGTGATGATCAGCTGTGTTTTCCTGTGTGAGTCCAAAAGATACAGAACAAAATGTTAAATGTTCACATTTATTTATAGAGCTAAAAACAAGTGCTGGTGGTGGGCCTTCCTGTTCCAGCCTCAGCAGCAGCAGGTGGCTCTGCTTTAAAACACAGAGTCCTGGTGGAGCGGCCCACCTGAGCGTTTGTCCAAACAACACAACATCATTAAAATACATCAGCTCAAACTGCAGAAAACACTGAGAGAATGAAGCTGATAAAATAACCACATTCTCAAACACATCATTCATGATGATTAATGGTTATTTTGATTGCATTTAGTTTTGTTATTGCTGTAGGATAAAAACTGTCTCTGAGTCGGTTGGTTCTTGTTCTGATTGCTCTGTATCGTCTGCCTGAAGGCATCAGTGTAAACAGAGAATATCCAGGGTGAGAAGTGTCCTTTGTGATGTGTTGTGCCTTTTTAAGACAGCGGTCACTGTGCAAGTCCTCCAGTGAGGGGAGAGGACAGCCAATGATTTTTTGGGCTGTATTCACAACCCTTTGTAGAGCTTTCCTTTGAGCCGCAGTGCTGCTGTTATACCAAACGCAGATACAATAAGTCAGTATGCTCTCTATGGAGCACCTGTAAAAGGACACCAGCAGTTTCTCCTTGATGTTGTTCTTCCTGAGAACCCTCAGGAAGAACAGTCTTTGCTGGGCCTTTTTTGTCAGCTCGAAGGTGTTCATGTTCCATGTGAGGCCCTGCTCAATGTGGACCCCCAGGAAACAGAAGTCAGCTACCCTTTCCACACATTTTCCCCCAATGTTTAGTGGTTTAATATCCGTTCTTTTCCTCCTGTAATCTATTATGAGTTCTTTTGTCTTTGTGCTGTTGAGGAGCAGATTGTTCTCCCTGCACCACACTGACAGCCGCTCCACCTCATCTCTGTAGGCGGACTCATCACCGCCTGAGATGAGCCCCACCACTGTGGTGGGGCTCATCTCAGGCGGTGATGAGT